CTCCTCCTCCTCCTCCTCCTCCTCCTCCTGGAGAACGAGCGCGCCCTCGGCGCCATTTAGCGTGGCACGCGGCCGGCTCGGAGGGCGGCGGGCTTCCGCGAGTGCCGCTGGGGCCGGCGCCCTGGACTCCAGGCGGCGGTGGGCCAGCGGTGGGCCTGTACACCGTCGGCCCCTCGGGCCTCCGGGACACGGCGCTGGGGCGCGGGGTCTCGGTCCGCGGTGCCCGTGGATCGAGCATGCTGGGCGCTCGCGGGCAGTTCTAGGCCACCCGACTTCGCGCATCGCGTCCCGCGGTTCGCGGCGCGCGGCTGTCGCGCACCCCGCGCCGCCCCGTCCTGGGAAGGGCGGCCGCTCTGGCCCGAGCACCGGAGCGCAGGGCGCGACTCTCTTCGCGCCCCCCGCGGGTGACCTGGGTGCCGTGTCCGCCGCACCCACAGGTCGGTTCTCACGCCGGGCGCCGCGCTGGCGGACGAAGGGGGATGCGGCCTCAGCGCGGCGGCGTATCGGAGCTCTGGGGCCGTGCTGGCAGGGGGTCGCTGGGCCTGGCGGTAGATATGCGTTAGGCCGGCACGGTGGACCCGCCGCGTCCCTGCGAAGAGAGAGTGGGCGGCAGGTCAGACAGCTGGGCGACGAAAAGAAGAAGGCCCTGTGACGTAGCGACCTTACGCGGTGGCCTACGCGGGCCGCCAGCGCGGCACGCTGCATTGGAAACGAGAGCGCTCGCGCGCCACCTTACGCAGGCAGCTTACACGCGAATGCCCGCGCAGCCGACTCCGTTTTTCATGCGTCGCTCAGATGGGGAGCTCGACAGCGGCGGCCGCTGAAGAGCGCTCCTGCAGAGACGGCGAGCGATGGCGAGGAGCTCCTGCCGCACCCTGAAGGACGAGGAAGATGTGGTCAGCGCGCGCGGGGCAGTGCACGCGGGGCAGCCGCAGCAAGGCTTACCTGGGAGGGCGACGAGGAGGACGGCGAAGGGTGAGGACGGAAGCGGCGAGAGAGGCTGAAGATGCAGAGAGAGAGAGAGAGGCGGAGGAGGCACGCCAGAGAAGCGGAGGCGCCGGGGAAAAGCGGAGGGCCGCGCCCGCGGCCGCCTCCTCCGGGGGCGGCACGTTTCGCCGCCCCCAGCAGGGGCGGCCGGGACCTCTCCTCCTGGGTGTCTGCCCCCCTCCCCTCACCGTCCCCGCCCTCCCCGTCTGGTCTGGTCTGGTCTGACAGTGCGCACCCAAGTGGGGCGCGCTGTGCCGGTGCCCTGGGCATGCCCATCTTCCTCCACGCCCTCTCGCCCCCCGAGGCCTCCGGCGCAGTGGCGGCCTTCACGACGCGGGCCGGCCCAGGCATCTCGACCCGCACACCCGGGGGCCCGCTTCTGGTCGCGGGCCAGTCTCGGTTGCCCCCCGGGGGCCCAGAGACCAGGGCACCTGGCTTCGCGCCCTCGCGCCCCGCGCCGCCCCACCTCGTGGAAGGGGGCGGCCGCTCCTGGCCCAGACCACGGCGCGCGGAGCGCGCCAGTCTCTGCGCCCCCGCGGGCGACCCAGAGCAAAGCGCCCCCCCCCCGCAAGCCCAGACTGCGGCGGCACTGCTGCCGAGGCCTTCCCGCGACGCCCGGAGGCCCGGAGTGCCCCAGGGGAGCCCCCAGGTGCTCTGAAGGCCTCTGGAGCTCACCCTCCCCCCCGAGCCTTCCAGGGGCCCCCCCTCGAGGCCACCGCGGAGATCCCTTGTGAAGGCCTCCGGAAGCTGCTGGCGCATACCACCCCCGAGCCCTCCAGAAGCCCCCGCGGAGGCC